GTGGGACTATTCCATTTGATCCTTGGATCTTTCTAAAATCATCTTCAATCGTAGTAACTCACATAATCCTTGAGTTATTGCCTGAAATTCTGACTCTACACTAAATCTTCCTACTACATTCTGTTTTTTATTCTCCATGTGATTAGATTTCCTCCAAGAAATGTATAATAGTCAATAGTAGATCTTCTATACATTTATTTCAAAAAAAAAGTAGATCTTTTACACATTACATATCTCGAGAGTCTGTCAGTATAGAGTTCAAGAAGTAACATGTTATTCCTTATGAACATAATATCTTCCTCTGGTGTTCCTTTCAGATAATGTAGCACTCAATACAACATATGTAAATTACTTCTTTAGAATTGTATATACATTGACTCATCACATTTAATGCATCGGTAATGTTTGTTCTTGTGTGTGACAAATCTATCAATCTTTTAACCAACATCTAATACATCTCTTTGTTGACCTTTGTGTCTTTCTCTACTAGTTCCAATTTATTGTTGGGATCAGTCGATGTGCTTGCATGTTTACAGGCTAGCTTACTTGTATCCTTCAGTAGGTCACTCGTATATTTTTGCTATGAGATAAAAATCTTAAATTTTGAGTAAGTTACTTCTATTCTAAAGAAATATTTAATTTTTCTAATTTTTTAATCTCAAATTTTTTGGTTAGACATTATTTGAGCACCAATCTTTTTTGTTCATCATCACGTCACAATAATATCATCAATGTACACCAGAAGAACTGTAATTTTTTCTGAGTCTAAGTGCTTTATGAATAGGTATATGGTCTCCCTAACTCTACTTTTACTCCATTGCCAATATTATCTTTGCAAATGTTCCAAACTTATTATGGGTGATTGCTTGAGCTCATATAGAAGCTTTTCTACTCTACATTTTATTTGTCCTTGCATCTTTGGTGAATACTAGGAAATTTTCCACATAGATTTCTTTCTTGGGTCTCTATGCATAAAGTAATTTTTATATCAAAATATTATAGTTATCAATTGTTGATTTTGGAGAAAAAATATTTAACTTTATTTTTTCACCTTTATATTTTTACACTTTAACTATTTATAAATTCCTAACCTACTGATAAGAAAATTCTTATTCTAATAAAATTTTAATCATATAAAATTATTATTCTCATAAAATTCTAATTACATTATAATAAAATAATAAAATATTTTACTCAATACTCCCCCTCAAGTTAGCGCAATGAGATCACACATATGTAACTTGCAAACCAAGTTATGAAGGATCATTCTATAGTCTACCAGAGGTAGAAAAAGAACCAGAAAAGACTAGTTGGAATGGCTCGCGCGTGTAGGAAGCAAATCTGTGCCGATAATACGAAACCAAAGGCAGCTGCGTGCAAACAAGACAGAAAAAAGACCAGAAAAGATTGGTTGGAGCGGCTCACACACGGATGAAGCATATCTGCACCGGATAGTGAAACAAGAGGCAGTTGCAGTTGTGCACGGACGACTCAAAAAAAGGACCATAAAGGGCTGGTCGTAACAGCTCGTGCACAGAGGAAACAAATCTACATTGGATCGCAAAACCAGAGATAGACGCACGCAAAAGAGCTGGAAAAAGGACCAGAAAAGGTTGGTCAGAGCAGCTCACGCGCGAGGAAACAGATCCTGGTCAAATCGTGGAACCAGAGGCGATCACGTGAAAGAGCTGGAAAAAGAACCAGAAAAGGCTGGTACACATAGAGAAGTCGGATAAGCACTTGTTCGTGAAACCAAAGGTGGATGCGCGTGGAAAAATGACCAGAAAAGACTGGTTAGAGTAGCTCGTGTGGCGGCGCGTGCGGCTCACGCGTCTCTGCTGCCGGCGGCGTCAGAGGAAGGCTGCTGGTGAGTCTACAACACTGTTTGCGGTAATGATGAAAATAGATCTGGATAATTAAATATCAACTCAACTTATTATGTTATTTTATGATTTGAAGGAAATCTTAAAATTATAATCCTAAAATAACTTTATTTGGTTCTAATATCATGTTAATTTTGGAAAATAAAAATATTACACTTTATTTTTTGACATCCTTTATTTTGTTACACTTGGGGTATCATAAAATTCCGAACCTACTGATAACTAAATTCTTATTCTATTAGAATTTTAATTATATGAAATTATATTGATAAGAATTCTACGTTAAGTAGAATATTATACTATAATTAGAGTTCTAATAGTAAAGATATATCATGTAATTAGAATTCTCTTATAATAAGAATAATTACTTTATATATATCCCATAAGTATAAATACAAAGCATATAAGAAATAAAATTAGAAATTTATTTTCTCTAAAATCTTCATGGTATCAAAGCTAAAGGAATATTATTTTAGGGCTTTGGAAAAACTCTAAAATAAGAAAAATAGGCCAAGTTGATACTCAACTACGAAAGAAACTAAACCCAGCATCACCCAGACGGAGTCGCTACCCAACCCCGGCAAGAACAGCCACAATTTCCGCACGCGTTAGCCACACGCGCCGTCGGCAGCAGAGGCACGTGAGCCACACATGCCGCCGGCTTCATCCCATTCGGCTCGAAAAGCGGTGGAATACCACTAGAAAAGCTCGATTGAAACAAATCTAGTTCCCTTCCGCACAAAATCCGGCTTGATTGCGATTATCCGGCCTTTTTTCACGCGACTGTGCGTGTTCGGAAGATCTGCCATTCTGCGGTCTCTGTCGATCCGCGTCTGGAGACGGGTCGACTGATCCTCCTGCACATCACGCTGTTCTGGTCGCACGCTGCATAGACCAGACAGAGCCCTCTCTCGCGCCAATCTGCTTTTCCGCGCACGGGACGTCTAGTGTGGCCATTCCGGGCGCCGAACCACTCTGACTTGGTCCATCCGCGCTTGAGCAGAGCTGTCCGCGTCCGAGCCAGTGCCAAGCCGAGCTGAGCCAAGCCGAGCCAGATCTGGTTCCGGTTTTTTGGTCATTTTTTCCGTTTTTTGGTCCTTTTTTGGCTCCTTGGTGCGGTTTAGGAGATTCGTTTTTCATTACTGTATATTTTTTTCATACTTTTAACATTCTAAGATGACATAAGCAAAAAATGTGAGTGTTACTAGTTTTGATAACCATTCATTACAAATCAGTCTCGTAAAACTTGATAGAACTAATTATCTTACTTGATTGAGATCTTATTTATTATTTATCAAATGTAGAGGATTGCAGAATTACATTGCTGGTGAGGTGAAAAATCAGGTGTTGATAGTTTAGAATATAATATATGGGATTCTGAGAGCTCATTAGTAATGTCATAACTCATAAATTCCATGTAACCCCATATTATCAGAACATATATGTTATTTAACACTGCTGAAAAAATATAGAATGCAGCATCTCTTACATATTCACATATGGGTAATGACGCTCAGATTTATGAACTCCGAAATAAAGTTCATGACACAAAATAAGAAAATATGACTATTTCTCAATGTTTTTCTAAACTGAATGGATTATGATAGAAGTTAAATTACTATCAAGATTTTCAGGCAAAATCACCTATTGAAAGCAACTACAAATTACAAGCAGGTGATGGTATATCAATTGACTTGAGAAGATACCAAAGACCAGTTGAACGACTCATTTATCTCTCACATACCAGACCTGATATAGCATATGCAGTTAGTCTAGTGAGCCAGTTTATGCATGATTCTCGTGAAACTCATTTACATGTTGTCTTCTGTATATTACTATATTTAAAATCTGCACTAAAAAAAAGTCTGCTCTTTTCTAAGCATGATCACCTTAAAATAGAAACATTTACATATGTCAATTGGGCGATATCTCTAAATGATAGAAGATCAACTACACGTTACTGCACACTTGTAGAAGGCAACTTAGTCACATGAAAAAGTAAGAAGCAAAGTGTAGTTGTCCGCACTAGTACAGAGGCAGAGTATAGAGCAATGGCTCAAGTAGTTTGTGAATTATTATGATTACAAAAGTTAATGAGGAAACTAAAACTGCTTAAAAATGAGAGATTATCTCTATTTGGTGATAGTAAAACAGTCATTAACATTGATCATAATCCAGTTCAACATGACAGAACAAAACACATTGAAATTGATCGATACTTCATAAAAGAGAAGATAGTTGGTGGCTCTCTATGCTTATATCATGTATCTTTTGGTGATTAGGTGACTGATATTTTTATTAAAGGATTATACAATAAATCCCTCCAGAATCTGGTTTGCAAGTTGGACATGTGTGATATTTTTACGCCAACTTGAGGGAAAGTGTTGATAAGGATTCTATATTAAGTAGAGTATTAGACTACAGTTAAAGTTCTAATAGTAAAAATATATAATATAATTAGAATTCTCTTAAAATAAGAATGATTACTATATATCTCATAAGTGTAAACACAAAGTATATAAGAAATAAAATTATAAGTTTATTTTCTCTAAAATCTTCAAATTATCATTCTCATAAAATTCTAATTGCATCATAATTAAATAGTAAAATAATAAAATATTCTACTCAACACCAATCATAGTTGGCAGCTAAGAAAAATAGGACTCAAACTGTACTCATCTTGACAATAGATCCAAAAATCTCTTGATAGTTTATCAAATAAGTTCATGGTACCTCTATTGGCCACAGTCTTGCTATGTATCTCTTTATGGTCCATCAACCTTATATTTTATCATGAACACCTACTTGCATTACACAAATCTCTTTCCCTTTATACACCATTTATAAAGCCTGTCTTTAGAAATGAACATTCAAGTGTATTTTGAATTTTCCCTCAAGATTAAACCCTTTCTTTCAACGATCTAAAGTGCACTCCGCTACACAGTAATCGAATATGGTTAAGCCTCTTGAAAATCCAGAATGATTATTTATCCAAACATAAAACTCAAAATAAAGCTAAAATGACAAGGAAAAAAAAAAAGAAAAAGACAAACAAGATTATCAACAAAACAAAGTAGATCAATTCATGAGGAAATAAAATATATTGTTCGAATATACCTTCGTTTTGATACCATTTCCTTCTCCTCACTTATGCTTCTCTGAAATAATCAATTCCGAATGACTTCAAAAGACACATAAAGAGAATTTATTCAAAAAAATAAACATGAATTGAGCAAAAAACACATCCTTGCACCATTTAGGAACTATTGTCTCAATGAAATAAACTAGATCAATGAATTGAAATGACTCAAAGGAAGACTGATGTAAGAAAAATTAAGGTTCCTATTAAGAAATTTGGGATAAAATTCAGCGCTAAACAGGACACCTTGAGAACTGGAAAACACTGATAGAAATAATTAGGACTCACAAATAGGATCACCCAGGCATCACAGCTAAGGTCAGGGTTGCAGATTAGGGGTCCTTGTAAGGTGTTGATGTGGGGAGGCAGTGACGTAGGGAGCTAACAACAGTTCTCGTTACTAGCAGCAAGTGGTCCGTAGTTTGGGCATCTTCCTCAATGGGGCTTTGGCTATGGGCCAATAGGACCTTTCCAAGGACAGTTATTTTTTTATGAAAAAAAAAAACAATATATATATATATATATATATATATCATTGAGAAGAGAAAGATAACAATACAATCGGCAAGGATAAGACATCCTCCAATAACCTTCACCATGAAGGATACAGAAAGATACACAGCAACCAAATGGCAAAAATAAAAACAAAAAGAGAGAAAGCCTTTGCCCTTGAAACTATGAGACTTATGCATCCCAACTCCTATGGAGCACAGATGGCACAGTATCAGAGGACCTTCCATGAGCCTTCGCCCATAATGTAACCCAAAAAATCATCCAATCCCATAAATCTTGGCTGGGCAAAAATTAATAGGTAAAAATTCGCCAATCCCTTTCAAGCCATAAAGCCCATAATCCCGCTAAAATAGCCCCTCTATGCAGGGGTTTGGCTACCCATCGAATCCTCTTACCGTACATGTATGTACTCACAAAGCATTCCACAGAAGGGGGAGCTATCCCAACTGGTTGTGGTGATAGAAATCTGGCAGCAGTAAGGTGTCTTAGGGTTTACAGTTCTCCTTTTTCTTAACTCAGGTGGTGGGATTTGTTTGGAAAGGATTTGAAATGTTGGGGTGTAGAACCTAAATCTGGCAGCAATGAGTTGTTTAAAGTTTCACAGTTTCTCTTCTTTTTCAACTCAGATGGTGGGATTTCTTTGGGCAGGATTGAGAAATTTTCGAATATAATAACTTTTCTATCTCCAATACCAATCAATAAAGAAGAAATTAGGATTAATTTTGCTCCTAAAAAGTTTGGGTTAGCATCATGTATAGGGTTCTTAAGCATCACATCTAAAAACTGATTAGATCACAATAACCAAGATATTGAGAAAATTGATTAATAATGAAGACAAATATGAGATAACAAAGTTATAAAGCATATAAATAAACTTTCCAGAATTAGATCTACACTAAGAATTTCTACCAATTCAATGAAATTACTACTGTTAAGAATGTAAAAATCAATCATGAAGAACTCAGGAAAACATAAATTAAA